CCCCAAAACCCCAAAACCCCAAAACCCCAATTTTTAAAATTCACTTGAATATAACAAATTATTAAAAATTTAATAAAAAAAGAACACTAAGGCAACTTCCATAGACAAAGAGATTTTGTGAAAAGAAAAGAAACTTTACCAGCGCATTTATGAGAAGACTTGTACCAGATTGTTCTATAATGAAGAAACCAGACGCTGGAATATAAGTTGGCAGTTACATATAACAGAGAGGATAGGTAAAGCAGGATCCATGTTTCAAGAGTTGAGCATTGAACAGTTAAAGGGAATTAGACTGGACAATGAATGGAAAATGTGAATTAAACAAAATAATAATATTCCTAACTTTTCGAAGATTTTGAATTGTTATTTAATCAGAAAAAATTGAAGAGTTATCTGTATATATGGACTCCGAGAAGATAAGATTCTCCCCATACTATCTTATATGCACAATGAAATACCTTCCAAATATAACTCGATGCTTTATTCTTGCCAGAGCAAAGATCTCCAAAATTAATTCAGAAAGATCACCAAGTTGGAAGAGATATTAAGAGGCTAGAATTCAGTTATTGAGATGTTTCCCTTAAAGAGATCTAACTGAATAACTCTCAGCATTATTCTATTCAAACTATAAGATTCATGATGAATCGTAGCAATAAAGAAAAATGTTTAAATAAGATATAAAAGGAGTAAAAGATCTCAGAAAAGCAGCATATTTGACAGACTTGTAAACTTCCCTCGATCTAGACAAAGAGAACGAAGAACAGTTTCGTAATAAGTACATTACTGTATACCTCTTTGATATTAAGAGGTTTTATGCATTACCTCCAGGAATTTAAGTTTTAGGTATACACCATAAAAAAGAACTGCTTAACTACACAAAATAGACCCATCTGCACCAAATTCAAATATTTTTATACACCATCCACAAACCAACACCCTTACTAGAACCCTAAATTTTCCACCCATACTCTACTTTCCCACCTCTTCCACTCCTCTTAACATCCTTCCTTCCCCTCCCCTATCCCCCATTCCTCCATCCCTCCTCCCCAACCCACCAAATTTCCTTAACCCCCAAAACCCCAATCCGCCACTCCCCAATCCCACTTGGCAGCTTCCACTTGAGCCTCATTAAAAAGTAATGCTAGAGGGAAAGTTCTGTACTTCGAAGTTACTAATTTTGTATAGAGTGTCGGTGTTGAGGCAGGGATTTTGGAGGTGAGAGGTTGAATTTGGGGGGGGGTTTTGGGAGTGGGGTTGGGAGATGGGATTTTTGTTAGGGGATTTTTGGGATTTTTGGGGATTTGGGGGGAGTTTAGATTGATTATGAGGGTTTTGGGGTTGTTAAGGGGTGAATTATTTGGAGAAGTGGTGTGAACGGGTGTTTTAAAGGGGGGTTTTGGTAGGAATTGTGTGAGAAGGAGTTGAAAATGGAGCAGAATGTCCTGAAAAATGAAAGAAAAATCCAGAAGAATGAAACATATTTGAAAAGGATGATTTTCCTTAAAGCCCTGAGGTATGAAATGAAACCAACTTATTTAATTTTAGAGGATTGATGGAGGCAACATATTTATTGGAATCAAGGGAAATTCAATTTTGCTTTGAAAAAGATAGCCCCACTAAGATCGGAAACTTGATTTGAATTATATATAGAAGAACACAAAGGGATCAAAAACTTGAAGAAATATATGAAAACATCCTCTACCATGAAAATTGGAGCGCTAAAACTGAAGCTAGATATGAAAAATATGTCTTCTTTTACCAAAAATTATAGCTCGGTTTTACAACTTTTATCTAAAGTAACTTCTATGATTACTCTTACAGACTGAATAATCTCCAAAAGCCAGTTTAGAAAGATAATACATGTAGGAAGACACATCGAGAGAATGATTTTTGAACAGTGTAATATCTCTTTCGAAGGAATTCAATTAATCAAATCCCTGCATTACTCGATTGAATACATAAGGTTCACTTATTTTATACAAAAATTTCGATTTCATTATCCCGAGAGCAAAGAAGGAATTAAAGATTTTATTAAAGCCGCTTGATCTACAGATTTAAAGGACTCACTGAAACTTAAGAAACTCGACAAAAAAGGTTCAAAAGATATGCTTGAGCAATATATCGATAGCAGAACTATTCGTCAATTCTGTGACCATCCGGAATATGCCGGAATTGTAATTTGTCTCAATTGTTAATATAAATTTACCCTCCACATTCCTTATTACTATTTAATATCTTACACCATTCCCTCCTAAAGCATCTTAAAACCCCTGATCCTCCTAAAAACCACCTATAACACCCAATTTCCTCCAAACCCCCCTCTCCCTACCACCACCCACACCCTTCAAAACTCGTCCCTAACCCCCTACATCTTCCTTCTTCCCCTTTAACCCCTCTTATTCTCCATCCCTCCATGCTCCATTACCACACCTAAATTATTCCTTTCTACTGTATAAACCTTAAGCGGGGTTTTGGGGTTTTGGGGTTTTGGGG